TGTGTGTGTGTGTGTGTGTGTGTGTGTGTGTGTGTGTGTGTGTGTGTGTGTGTGTGTGTGTGTCTGTGTGTGTGTGAGTGTGTCTGTGTGTGAGTGTGTCTGTGTGTGTGTGCGTCTATGTGTGTGTGTGTGTGTGTGCCTTTCTGTGTCTGCGACCTTGAACAAGCGAATCATCCATCATATGTGTTTGTTGATTCGTGCGTCTGTTCGCGCGCTTCTTGCTTTCTGTGTGTGTGTGTATGTGTTTGCGGCTTTCTGTGCATGTGTGTGAGTTCCTATGTTGTGGCTGTTGGAGTCGGCTGTCTAGACGCTGCGCAATTTGGCCAGCACATTGCTGAGCTCTTGCTCCAGGCGGCTCACCCGGATCTCAAGCATCTGATACGCAGCCTGCAGCAGTCACAGCAAGGGCAAGGTTGAGGAAATTGCATTGATGTGAGAAAGGAACCGAAACATAACCACAAGCAAGGACAAGGGCAGGGTTAGACGATCATACACAAACACAAAGGTAAGAACGCAAACACACAAACACACAAACACACAGACACACACACTCTCTCTCATGCGCTCACGCGCACACAACGCCCCCGTCACACACACACACACACACACACACACACACACACACACACACACACACACACGAAACAATACTCACATAGCTGACGGTCTGTGGCATGTCTGAGGAGTTGAACTGCGTGCTGGCCAGCACACTCTGGCTGAGGGCATTGGTGTTACCCGCAGACGCTAATGGGGGTGGGGAGGAAGAATGAAGGAAGAATGAGGGAACCGGAATCAGTATGTGGGACGAGGACGCAGAACATAACAGGACCCCGACCACACCCACAACCACAAGCAACAGAAACAATTGCACCACGACCACACACACACACACACACACACACACACACACACACTGCACACCCTTCTGGTCCATCCATAGATGGCTGAGCCTGCCCTACATCAGAGCGTGCTCTCATCTCACCAATGCGGGGGCCGGTACTGGCTGCGAGCTCGTTGCGCGACACCTGGCGCGAGGGCGACCGTGTCGAACTCTACACAAAGCCAAAGGATTGTGTGTGTGTATGTGTGTATGTGTGTGTGTGTGGATGTGTGTGAGCGTGAGTGTGATAAGAAGAAATCAGATGCGTGCACATGAGCCCGAGGACCATGCGTTCACGGTGTGCACCTGCGAGCGGATGCTGGACTGGAGCGGGTCAAAGTCGACGGCGTGGCCCGTACCCTGGTACCTGACGTGGCGTGATGTGACGTAGCGTTGGCGTGGAGGTGAGACGTGGAAAAGAGGGTGGTGTCAGGTTGAATATCAAAGAGCAAAGGAAAGAAGCCAGGATTTCCTCGCAAAGCCCAGTTGGCCACATGTTAAACAGAACGCGACACACACACACGCACACACGAGAACAAGTGCGGCTGCTGGAGCGTGCTGCGTTTACCCTGTTGAGTTGAGCGGAGGTTCTGACGCCGGGACGAGCAGCGGCGTGCTCTCCATCTGTCGCATCATCCACGCCTCCCCCGTAAAGCCCGAGCCTGCACAAAGAGAAGGTGTGTGTGTGTGTGTGTGTGTGTGTGTGTGTGTGTGTGTGCAAGTGAGCGAGTGAGTGTGTGTGTGTGTGTGTGAGAGCAAATGAGAGAGCGATGGGATGCACGTGAAGCAGTGTGCTGTCATTACACACGCATGTCATCCCTGCACACCACACGGCAGTGAAATCACCAGCAGCAGCATCACCAGCAGCAGCATCACCACCATCGCCGATGCCACCACCATCAGCACGACGACAGCGTTCGCACCTGGCAGCTCCACCTTGATCCAGTCCCCGTACACCGCCGTTGCGTAGATCTCGTCTGCACGCGTCACCACACCAAGTGTCTCTGCATCCGAGGTGGGCCCGCCACGAACGCGCAGCTGGCAGTCTGGCGGCAGATTCCCGTCAAACTCGTAGCGCTGCATGGCAGGGAGGGTGAGCAGGGCTGGGCCGTCCTGAACACCGTCGCTCGTGCTTGCATGCACGCTCCGCCCCGGTGACGGCGCAGTCGCTGCCCGCGGCGTTGCAGCCTCTGCACGCGCGCGTATGTGTGTTTGAGTGGGAGAAGGGGAGGGGAGGGTGTGTGTTTGGGTGAGAAAGGAGAGAGAAAGCGGGGGGAGGGTTGTGTATTGTGTTTATTGTGTGTATTGTGTGTATTGTGTGTATTGTGTGTATTGTGTGTATTGTGTGTATTGTGTGTAGCCTCGACAATCACTTTCCCCGAGACGCTCCGCCCCGGTGACGGCGCAGTCGCTGCCCGCGGCGTTGCAGCCTCTGCACGCGCGCGTATGTGTGTTTGAGTGGGAGAAGGGGAGGGGAGGGTGTGTGTTTGGGTGAGAAAGGAGAGAGAAAGCGGGGGGAGGGTTGTGTATTGTGTTTATTGTGTGTATTGTGTGTATTGTGTGTATTGTGTGTATTGTGTGTATTGTGTGTATTGTGTGTATTGTGTGTGTGTGTGTGTGTGTGTGTGTGAATGTACGTGTACGCGCATGTATATGTGCGGTGATCTTGTGGACGAGGCAGAGCCCACCAACAATTTTGTGTGCACATGCACGGTGTGGAGAAATAGGGAGGTGCAATGTGTAGCAGGATGTGCAAACGTCACATCCCGGGCACTCCACCTTGTGCTGCGAAGGTTTGTGTGTTGGCTGCTGGAGACTGGGGCACAGCCGCGTTCAGGCCTCCCTGTTGAATGAGTGTGCACGTGCACGCAATGATGGCGTGAACGACAGCGTGCTCGTTATTGTAGCAGTGGCCAAGTGAACGATTGCGGAGGAGCAGATATGCAGACACAGACACAGCCACACACACACACACACATGCAAACGGCAGGCCTTACGGATTCCTTGAGCTCTTTTGCATGATTCAGAAGGAGGTTGCCAATCTTGGAGGCCTGCACACGCCCAGCAACGGCACCAGAGCTTACATGAGCGGTTAAAAAAAAAAAGGCAACATGACACAAACACGCACTCATGACACAAACACGCACTCAAGGCACACACACACACACACACACACACACACACACACACACACACACACACACACACACACACACACACACGAACCCGCAAGCGTGGATTCTTGGAGCCGGAGAAGATGGCTGCAGACAAGCGCAAGGACGACGCCCAGAACACCCGGTGTGAGCCACCTCATTCACCTGTACTATCAAGTCCAAGACTCACCACACACACACACACACACACACACACACACACACACACACACACACACACACACACACACACACACTCAAGGAGGCATGAGCGTACGTATGTCACCCACCTTTGACCTCGGGCGGGCAGTCCTTACACGCATCCACGGTGTTGTTAAAGTCAGCGAGCTAATCACCACGTGTGCATGCAGCGCAGCGAGGGAGTGAGCTACTCATGCCATCAGAGAGTACTCGAACACCCACAGAGTGCAGACACACACGCACACACACACACACAGAGTGCAGACACACACACACACACAGAGTGCAGACACACACACACACACAACAGTGCGCATATATCACACGACCACTGCACATCTCCCTCCCCTGCCATCCCTACACACACGCACACACGCACACACGCACGCACGCACGCACCTTGTCGACTGTCCAGAAGTCGGCATACTTGCCAGTCGCGGAAGCTGCCAAGGAGGCCTCAATGTCTTGCCTTTCAAGTAGCAAAGTCAGGCAAGGAAACAAAGGAAACGAATAAACACACAGCCCGCATGTGAGCAACCACACAAGCGACAAAACCACACAAGCGACATACACAGTGCACACACACACACACACACACACACACACACACACACACACACACCACAGCGTGACCGTTACAGACAAACAACACCCACTACACTGAAGAAGGCTTGCTCTGCTTGCTTACTTCTTGAACAAGGCAAAGATGGGGTCCCTGCTCAGTGCTGCTTCGGAGCACTGCGAGATAAAGTCCTGTGCCTCCGCCACTTCCGTCATCCTTCCTTTTTGCTTGTTCTTCCCTGCAGGCAGGCTCACACAGCCAACAAACAACAACGGCGGTTCAAGGTTGTTTGTTGTGCGACAGTTGAAGAAAACGTGCGTATCCGTGTGTGTGTGTGGTGTTCGTTGTGCGAAATTTTCCGCTTCCCCCCTTCTTCTGCTTTCTGCTTCCTTGTTGTTGTTGTTGCGCTGTTGGTGTTGTTCGTTGTGGCAGCATCCAGCATCCCTCGCAGCACCCGCAACACCCGCAGCACCCGCACACACAAACACACACGCAGCACAACATCCGCTCATCGCGCACACACATACACGCACGCGCACAGAGCTGAGGCTCCATGTCGTCATGGCGGAAGCTGCGTGCGATGTTCTCATCGCCATCTGGGTCACAGGCAGATAAGCAGCAGCAGCAGCGACACCAACATGATGCAGCGTCACCCACCGCCACCACCTTGCCAGCACACGCAACAGCAATGTCAGGACCACAACATGCCACGGGACGGCAGTATCAAGCCCACCACCACCAACAACAACAACAACAACAACAACAACAACAACAACAGCAACAACACCACCGCCACCACCACCACCACCAGCAGCAGCAGCAACACGAACGACTAGGACAGCAACATGCACAACACAGTGCACCACCTCCTACGTACGATGAGGAGGAGGTGGCCAACATGGACATTCCATTTGAGGACGACATGTGGGCAGAGCCCATGGAGCTGACACCCCTGGCGACACCAATCTCTGCGCCCGACCCCGGTGCACTGCCATCCTTTGATTTCCACTCGGATCCAGGCGAAGATGATGCGTGGCACGACTTCATCGTCATGCCACCCGAGGAATACTCAGGCTTATCGCACAACACCACATCACAGCCCTCGTTACAGCCCTCATTACAGAAGCGAGCCAGCGCCACCTCATCATCCCCATCCACCTTCATCACACCCCACCCACAGTCACAGTCACAGCAGCAGCAAGTTGATGCCATCGCCGCTGTCCCATCATCATCATCAACACCACCACCACCACCACCACCACCACCATTATCATCATCGTCGCGCCCTGCCACAGAGGGACTTGCACTCTCCTACGACTCTGCAGACTCCGACACCTTGAGCTCCCGGGATGCCAGCGGTATTCACTCTCCAACACAGCATCACGGTTTACCACGCTTGCAAAGTCCACTGCAGCGTGATGTCGTGCATGCAGGCACACCCGAAAGCAGTACACCAGATCAGAGGCAACCACGTGCATTGCCCTTTACCACGTCATACGAGCCAGGGGTGCGCACCAGCAAGCCACGCACCCAGCCACATGTCATACCGTCCCAAACAGCTGCCAGCACTGCCGCAGCAACTGGCAATGATGACAACGGTGCCGTTGGCGATGATGTCACCGCTGGCGATGATGCGTGGAACACATCCGTCATCCCACCGCCACCCGTATTTGCGGCTTCATCGAAACAAGCATCGCTATCACCATCATCATCATCACCACCACCACCACCACCACCGCCGCCGCCGCTACCCCGGCCACCACAGCTGAGTGTCAGCGCTGGTGCTGATGACGACGAAGATGAGCATGAGCATGATGAGAGGGAGCGGGAGCGGGAAGTGCATGCGTCCCTGCTCCACCAGTCTGTGGACTTTGGCAGCGAGGACGACGAGCACCAGGCCGCCAGCAGCACCAGCGGAAGTGGCCGCCCGTCTGTTGATGCAGCCGATACCACGTCGGGCCAAGAGGTGGGCCAGCTGCTGCTTCTTGGCAGCATGTACACCAAGCCAATATCCCGCGAGAGCAGCCGGGCCAGTCTCACGCAGCGGGCACCTATGGTGGACAGCAGGACCCTGGCGCCCGTGGAGGAGAGAACCGATGCAACTGCACGCACGCACGTGCTTGCTACTACATCTGCAGGGGGTGGTGATGATAGTGATGACAGTGTTGATGACGCGGCCAGCAGCAGCAGCAAAGCGAAGTTAAAGCGAGCCGGAAGTGATGGCGAAAGCGAGGGAGGAGAGCAAGATGAGGAGCAGCATGAAGAGGCGAAGAGGGCAGGAAAGACACCACAGCAGCCGATGGAAGGTGTGGCGAAACGAACAGCCCCTCAGATCTTGCCCAAACAACAACAACAACAACAACAACAACAACAACAACAACAACAACAACAACAACAACAACAACAACAAGGTATGCAGCAGGCTACGCAGGGTTTAAAGTTACAACAGCACGCAGCTCCAACTGTGCAACTTGTTGCTGACGATGCACACGCATTGGAGTGCACAAGCGGTGGCGGTCGTGTGCACGCTGCTCCACCACCAGCATCACGAGCAGAACCAACCACAGAACCTCGCGATGGTGAGCGCACTGTTACCACGCGCAACATCAGCGAGAAAGAGAGCAGCGAGACCCTCAACAGCACTGACAACAAGGCAGCCGTGGACGCCGGTGCTGCCGCTGCTGATGATGACGTGTTGGCGACAGGAGAGCAAGTTGAAGAAGTTGAAGAAGGGCAGGCGGCTGTGAAGGGTCCCGCAATGCACGACTATCACCAACACCGACACCGACAGGTGCAGCGACATGAAGCAGAAGCAGAAGAGAAGGGGTACAGTGCTGCGCCTCCGACACAGCACGATGATACGGGCGGCAGCGAGCATGGCGACAATAGTCACACTTCAGCAAACGCAGCGGCACCACCAGCAAGGACGACGACGACAGCATCAACTGCAGCCACTCCATCAACAACCCCAGCACCAACAGCGGGGGCGAGCAGCGTCAGCAGCGGAAAGATGAAGCAGTCGAGCACTCGCGGTATCAAGTCAAGGCTCAAGTCTCGTTTGTACAGCAACTCAAGCACCACCACTGCTACCACTTCAACGCCAAGCAGCACCCGGGGCAGCAATGCCGCTGCAAATGCACAAGCAGTTCCAACAACCAAGCAGAAAGACGCACCCACCACGCCAGCCACTACAACGACAACGGCAGCAGCGGCAGTAGCGGCAGCAGCAACGACAACGAGCAAGGCTACGGCTCCAAAGGCAGCAGTCACAAAGGCCACGACCACACGGCGTTGTGAGCGCCCAGTGTCGCCGCCAACACGTCGCGTGCATGCGGGAACGAAGCCGCGTGCGTCTGTGGACAAATCTTCGAGGTCCCGAAGTCCAAAACCGCGAGCAAAACCGGCGCACACGCGCGCAGTGACGCATGCAGCTTCCACCACCGCCACCAGAAGCAGCAAGGCGGCAGCTGGTGCGGGTGGGTCTCAACAGCAGCGGAGCAAGCCACGCAGCTCTCGCGTGTCGCCATCGCTTCGACTGGGATCCAAGTCCCCATCCTCTGCTGCATCCTCTCCTCGCACGTCACCGCGTCCCATGATTAAGTCTCCCACACCGCCGGCGTCCCCGACACTCACAAACACGCACACACGCACGAGCAAGGCCGTGCCGCACGCACCCGTGCCGAAGCAACAGCGCAACGGGTCCAAGCCAGCGCACGCGAACGCAGGCAACGCTCGTGCTGCTGGGCGGAGGCGCCATGCTGGTGGTGGTGGCGATGGGGACGGTAATAGTGATAATGCAAAGGCTCCCGCCGCCACCACCACCACATCGTCGTCGTCGTCATCATCAACATCAGCAGCAGCAGCGCGAACAACGGCTGAGCGGCTGGAGGCGGCGCGGCAACGACGGGAGCAGCTGCAGATTGCATTCAAGCAGCAGGCAAGAAACCGTGTGCTGCGCCAGAAGGCGCGCTTTAAGCAGGCGGCAACGCGCAGGCAGGCACACATGGCAGCCACGGCGGACAAGCTGGGGGAGGAGCACATGCGCGTGCGTGAGCGCGGTGCGCTGGCGAAGGAGCAGCACATGCGGTCGCAAAAAGCCATGGCCGAGGCACTGGCAACACGTGAGCAGGAGCTGCGGGCGAGTGCAGCTGCCAGGGAGGACGAGGTGACAGTGAGAGCGACGCGGCGCGACGGTGATGACGATGGCGATGGTGATGGCGGTAGTCGGTGCAGCAGTAGGGGTGCGGCAACCTCACGACCACGTGCACGCACGAACACGCGTTCGCGTTCACGGGCGTCGACTGCGCGGACGTCGCGATCACGTGGCAGCCGCTCGAGCGTTTACAGCAGCGCCAGCAGTGGCGGCGCTGGTTCAAGTGTCAGCCTGTCGCGGTCTGGAACACGCGGGGCTGTGCAGTCAACGGGCACACGAGCAGCGCCAGCAGTGCATCGCGCAAGCAAGTCCGCCACAGTGTCCCGCCGTGCCTCAGGGCAGAGCATTGGCAGCAGCGGTGGCGGCGGAAGGCACGCGCACTCTGCACACGCGTCTCGTGCAGCGTCGCGGGATGCAATGAAACTTCCTTCCAGCGGCAGCCGTGACGCCGTCACCAGGAGCAACACCAACGCAGGTGTGTGTGTGTGTGTATGTGTGTGTGTGCGTGCGTGTGTGTGTGTGTATGTGTGTGTGTGTGCGTGTGTGTGTGTGTGTGTGTGTGTGTGTGTGTGTGTGTGTGTGTGTGTGTGTGTGTGTGTGTGTGTGTGTGTGTGTGTGTGTGTGTGTCCTGGTCGGGTGGGTGTGCTGGCAAGATTCGTGTGTGTCTTTGTTGGTTTGACGCGTGCTTGCATGTGTTGTGCTTCTTTTTCGTCCTTGCAGGCGAGGATGCGTCTGGCTCAATCCATTCCGGTATCAACACAACAGACATGACACCACAAGAGTCGCAGCCTGAGTCATCTGAACCGCCGCCGTCGCTGTCCGATGTTGAGCAGTCGCCCTCCAAATCACGCGTGTTGCCAGCAGCGGCGGTGGCGAAACAACACGAGTCACCTCTCACACGCACGGCGCGGCAGCTGCTGCAGCGGCACAAGCGACAGTCGATTGCTGACAGCCAAAGACAGCAGCAGCAACAGCAGGAGGAGGAGGTGGTTGTGGGGGTGGAGGAAAAGGAGGAGGAAGGTGATGATGGTTCACGCGGACACCGCAAGGACGACGAGACGGAAGAAGAGAAAAAGCGAGTGTCCTCGAGCCACAGGCAGCTGCACGAGGAGAAGGAACAACAACAACAACAACAACAACAACAACAACAACAACAACAACAACAACAACAACAACAACAACAACAACAACAAGCTCAAGGCAGCGTTGGTGTGCGGGAGTACCTCATGCAGCGGCTGACAGAGCGCCTCGGGGACGAAAAGCGCGCACTGCTGCAGTCTGTTGCCAAGCAACCAGCCATAGACGCGCAGCGAGATAGGCGGAAGGCCGGGCACGGTGGCAGCTCCAGCAGCGCTTCCACGGTGGTGAAGCACAGGCCGGAGCAATACCAAGTGGTGAAGCGGCAGACCACCGCCAGTACAGACAGCCCCGACCGCGATGCCATCCTGCTGCGGAGCCGGGCGCGCGGGTCACGGCGTGTTGTTCGTCGCGCCACGCAAGACACCACCAGCACGCAACACCAAGGGCACCAGCAAGCGCAACAGCAGCCACAACAGCACCGTGATGGCCTGCCAATGGCAAAGACGCCAAAGGCCGTGAGCGGACAGGATGCTCGGAATGGAGGCAGCACCGTCGACCGCCGGGCAATACGACCAGGGGACATGGCACGCGCGCATATGCGCCAGCGAGCCATGAGCAGGCTGCACGCTTACCAATCCGGCCAACATGCACCCAGCACCGCGACCACAACTGCTCACGTTCAGCACCAAGACCAGCAGCGACAACTGCCCAAGCCAGGTGTGTGTGTGTGTGTGTGTGTGTGTGTGTGTGTGTGTGTGTGTGTGTGTGTGTGTGTGTGTGTGTGTGTGTGTGTGTGCATGTCACACTGCCTTTCCCACTTGCACTCATTTCACCTCCTCCTCCCTCTTCTCCTGTCTCTCCTCCCTCCCGCTGTCTTCAGCCACCGACGACGGTGATGAGCGAGCTGCCATCCTCGTCTCCTCGCGGTCCCGGTCCCGCCGTCGCCGCGTTGTTCAACAGCAGCAGCAGCACCCGTCACCTGCACACCAGCATCAGCACAAGCAGCAGCACCAGACGCGACTGTGATTGGGGGTGTGCTTTCGATGTGCTTTCGAGCGTCTTACCAGGCTTGCTTCTTGCCAATAAACGAACAAAGGAAAGGCGTCGCTGCTTTGAGCCAGGACCGGGCGGGGTGTGTGATGGTGCTATCACGTGTGCTACCATGTCATGCATGCCAGCTCACATCGCGTCGCATTGTATTGTCACATGTCATGTCACGCTGGCATCAAGCACCACAAAACATCCTCGCCCTCGAACTGACAAGAAAGCATGGCAAACCGCAAGCTGAAGGTGTAGTGAGTGGTGGTTGTGGTTATGGATTGTGTCTGTGCCAGCACTGTGGCACCTCACACTCACCTTAGGTGTTGACGGGTGGCGTTACTGACTGTGCTGGTGTTTGGAACAGATACTGTGCTTGCACGGCTACCGCCAGAGCAAGGATGCGTTTCGGGCGAAGACAGGGTCCTTCCGCAAAGGAGTGAAGAAGTTTGCCGAGTTTGGTGAGTGCGTGTGCTCTGTGTGTGCGTGTGTGTGTGTGTGTGTGTGTGTGTGTGTGTCGTGTGTGTGTGTGTGTGTGTGTGTGTGTGTGTGTGTGCCCCCCGTGGGTGTGTGTGTGTGTGTGTGTGTGTGTGTGTGTGTG